TGGGCCTGCCCTCTGTGCCGCTCCTGCAACCGCCAGTGCCCCTGTCTCCAGCTCTTCAACTTTCCAGGCTCCCATGTTCTCCTCCAACTCCCACACCCCTTGGCTTCTGGTCAGTTGGTTGGACGGACAGAGGATAGAGCAGAGGCCTGAGGCTAAATGGAGGGCTTTGCACTCCCAGCCCGCCACAGCCAAGCAGCACTGTGGCAGTCCAGGGAAGTGCTTTCGGGGAGCCGGCCCCAATTCTCCCAGTCATGTCTGAGACTTGGCTGAGATCTTCATTTTGGAAAGGGGAGCAGGCTTGGCTGCCCCCCCCCCACCTCTCCCATGCCTCAGGGAGAAAATGTTTAGCATTGAGGAAGAAGCCCACAGGCTGGCTACGTGGCCTCAGTTGGCCTGTGGCCCAGGGAGAGGAGGGCCCCCAGGGCTGGGCAATGCTATTCCCAAGGCACCGGTTGCCAGCAGCTCCCCTGAGTGCAAGACAGTGGCGGTGGCAGAGCTGTGATTCCAGATCAAGCTTTCCTGGCCAGCCTCTCCTCTTGTACACGTACCCCGAAGAGTCAAGAATCCCTTTTTCGACCGTACCTTTCCTTATGATTTGCTCACATCAATGTCTTGGTCATAGCAGGATAAAAAAATCAGCTATTCAGTTTTGCCAGTTCAGTGGACTACTGAGAAACTTTAAGGTCTGAGATTCAAACACCAGTGCTTAATCCTTTGGTTCCTGTTTTTCATTTATAATCACCAAAGAATGGGTTGGTGGTGGCCTGTTACGTCATCACACTCTCTATCCCATAAAAAAACCTATTTCAAAGCATAGCTCTATACCTAGACAGCATCAATACTGTAGTGCTCTACTGTTGCACCCTGGGGATCTGTTTATTTGACAGATTATGGGTGGGGGGTCCCTGTCGTAAGTCTGCATCAGAAGGGAACCCCACCCTGTGTCCCCTAAGGGATAAAGGTAAGATTTGGCTTTTCCCTGGGACAGTTTTTTCTGCAGAGAGCTTATCTGCCCTTGTTCAGCTTTATTTCCCTATTTCCAACATACAAAACAAAATCATTTCTCTGAACCCAAGGCAGTGTTTGCTAGGGTCTGCTTCCTCAAGCTGGGTTACCACTTTTTCCAAACGCCCCAAAAGGTCCTCCCAACTGGTGCTACGGATGGCAACATTGAGATAAGCTTCCTACTATGGCACCCATCTGGTAATGCCTATCACCCTCTAGGAAGTGGTGAGAATGCCATGTAAACCAAAGGGCACCATGGTAAACTGAACCAGGACTTGGCACATGCAGTTTTCTCTGTTAAATTCCTTTCCAGGTTTATTTGCTAATAACCTTTGGCCAAACCGAAGGTGTTTAGGTTTGGGCTTTTACTTAATTTGTCTAGGAGACTGTCAGTTCTTGGCAAAGTGTAACTGTCAAGTTTAGCAGTGAGGTACATTTTTTTTAGAACAGCAAAAACCTGATTCTCCGCTTGGTTTGAATGCTGAAAAGGTAGGAGCATCTCTGAAGACACTCAGTCGAGCATCGATCTTTAGCCTTCCTGACACTGTTCCCACAGTTTCTGGGGACCACTTTGTATGGCTTGTTGGTTATGCTCCCTTCTTCAGTTCCTGAACATGTCCCCTTTTCTCTTTTAGAGAGCTCTCTGCATCTGCAGTAACCTTTTTAGATGTCTTCTGTTCTTCCATCTTGCGGGGATGTTTTGTGATCGCACCTTCAGTGTTTCATTTTGTAGCATTTCCCATCCTTCCTGCTAGGTGTAGATGGATCTCTAAAAGGAGACAGATCGGAAACTCCCCAAGGGGCTGATAAATCACTAGGGACACGCTTCCCTTCATAAGGGAACAAGCTTTCATTTGAGGAGACAGCTGTGAACATTCCCTCATCCCAACCCCTTTGTCTTGGGCACCTCTGTGTTTCAAATTTAGAAGCAGCTTCCTCTGCAACGTGTATAATTTCTGCTTGTGCCCTCCAAACTGTCCCGTGGGTGAGTGAGACTGGCCTGATTATGCAAGAGTTGCAACTGCCCAGGCTTACCCTGCTTGTCTCCCTAGTAGGAGAATCCCACCTGCCTGCTGGAGCAGGCCAGTCCATTTGCCCAGAAGCCCTGCTGTTGACTTGTGCCAGCAACAAAGCGGGACACGCTGCTTGGTGCACAGCCAGAGAGAATTTACGGCCAAGTTTAATGGTCCGTTTTATGGGAACCTGCAGTCCTAATTGAATGTCAAGTGCTGCATGGAATGGCCGTAGGAGAAGGCAGCAGCTCCTCAGCTCCCCTGCAGCTGGGCTTGCACCTCGCAACTGGCTCTTGGTTTTAACAGGCCTCCTCCTTTCGGTGCCTTGTGAGGTCCTCACGTTGGTGTGCACCAGTTAAGCTAATTGGCTCAGGGTAGGGAGAAGCTACAGACTGCAATCACGGGTTTGAAGCATCCACAAAATAAATGCACACTGGCATGGGGCACATCTGGCCACTGTGGCTGGAAGGGCAAGCTCTTCTTGGGTTCCTCATGATGGTTTTCTTCACTCCTCCCTCCCCCCCCACCAGAGTCCAGGCTGAGTCAAAGGGCTTGTCCCAACATTTGGTGATTTGTGGCATCCTTTCAAAACATGCTAAAGGAAAACCAATTCCTGGTTTCCGATCAAAGTAGGTTGCTAAGGACCTGACAGAGAATCTCCCAGGGAAGCTGTATGAGGAACTGAGAAGGAGCCTCCTTGGCCAACTAAGGAGGAGGGGTCTCCTGCAGCTGGACTCCCAAATGAATGTGATCGGCCCAGACAGTAGCGCCAGCCCTTCCCAAGAGGGTGGGAGGGAGACACTGCAGCTAATCCCCTCTGGGCTGGGGAGGAAGAGAGGCGGGCTCCGTGCTCCAGAGAAGCCCTGAGCAGACGAGAGAGACTCGGAGCTGAGCAAGCGTTGGGATTCCTTCAGCACAGAAGGCCACCCCCTGCACCCGAGGAGGGCCTCGGCTTGGAGCCCAGCAGGGCAACTGGAAGGCGCAGCTGTGGCAGTGGGAGGCCCAGGCACCTCCTCTGAATGCGCTTAATGGCAAAGGCCAAAGGCGCTTCACGGGGAAAAGTCAGGAATTAGC